TGCAATTAAATTCAATTTGGATGTAATAGTAAACTAGGGTTTATATTTCTTGTCAAATACCCCCATTCAAAGATTGTACCCCCATCTCTATAATCATGTTGTAATAGCTTAGAATTTTAATTCTCGCACTTTACGCTTTCAATTATGCCATGATTAGAGAATTAGGGTTTGTATGCAAAAATCCAAATCAACAAATAGTTTGACCTAATCAAAGACAAATATGCATGAAAATCAAGCACAATACACACTTGCACCCCTAGGGTTACAATCCACTTGTTGCCTTCAAAAAATGGGCCATGTTATGCATGTTGGGTACTTTGGCAAAACAAAAACAAAACAAAAGATCATAGTCCCTCGATGACGCTATCTTGGTTGCCTAAACAAAAATGATCAAGTCCCTCAAAAATTTGCCAAAAATACTTGACACAATTGTTATCATGGTCTATACGATGACCCGCACCTGTCCCGTTTAACATCCTAACACAAGGTTGTTCACCAAATGCAATGGTGAAATAACACTGTCAAAAGGGTTAAAAACATAAGAAAGATCTTTGAGTAAAAATAGGGTAGACAAACTCTTAGTTACTTGATCAAAGCTTGCAAAACATCCTTGCTATTTTCAAACACACTTCACAACACAATTTCAAAACATTTTCCCAAATCAAACTTTCAAACATTGAAATCTTTTCAAAAAGACAAAACATCTTTGTATACATTCAAACAAGAATCATTACAAAGGTTACCACAACGATGACCTCTTTTTAAAACATCTTTCAAAACCACACACAAAGCACCATTTGAAATAATTGAAAAGCAAAAGCAAGTGATCTAAACAAGTAACTAAGAGCCCATGGATAACCGTGGATGAAAAGGGTGCTTGCACCTTCCCTTTTCATAATCTACTCCCCGAACCCAAGAAAACATCTCAAAGGTCTTTCCTGTGCTTTTTTACCTTTCCTTAGGATAAAATAAAAAGTCGGTGGCGACTCTTGCTAAACCGAAACATTTGCAAACACAAACGCAAAACCTCAAGTCATTTCTCCCACCGTATCACATTGACCATCTTCTATCCATCTGTAACATACTTCACACATAGTTGACCATCATCCTATGGATCTCTTATATGGTTCTCACATAGTAGATCATCTTATGTCCATTTGTAACATAGTTTACACATAGTTGACCATCATCATATGAATCTCTCACATGGTTCACATATAATTGACCATCTTCTATCCATATGTAACATGGTTCACACATAGTTGATCATCTTCTATCCATTTGTAACATAGTTCACATATAGTTGACTATCATCCTATGGATATCTTACATGGTTCACACATAGTTGACCATCTTATATCCATATGTAACATGGTTCACACATAGTTGACCATCATCCTATGGATCACTCACATAGTTCATACATAATTGACCATCATCCCATGAATCTCTCACATAGTTGACACACAGTTGACACATAGTTGACCATTATCCTATAGATCTCTCACATGGTCCACACATAGTTGACCATCTTCTATCCATATGTAACATGGTTCACACATATTTGACCATCATCCTATTGATATATTACATGGTTCACATATAGTTTACCATCTTCTATCCATCGGTATCATAGTTCATACATAGTTGACCATCATCCCATGGATCTCTCACATGTTTCACACATAGTTGACCATCATCCTATGGATCTCTCACATGGTTCACACATAGTTGACCATCATTCTATGAATCTCTCACATGGTTCACACATAGTTGACCATCATCCTATGAATCTCTCACAGGGTTCACACATAGTTCACCATCATCACATAGATCTCTCACATGGTTCACATTAGGGGTGGAAAAATGGGTTGTGGCTAGCGGGCCTGACCTACGCACCCGCCATAAAATAATGGATTGGGTTGTTATTTTTGACCTGACGCACACCAAAGCCCGCTCTGCTAAACACTGCCACCCGCCAAGAGAATGCAGAAAAAAACATGTCTTTATTCTTAATCTTCTGATGGAGTGTTTCTGATATGAAATGATAAATATTCCAGAAGTCATTTCATTGTAATGTTCCCAAAAAGTATTAGAGTCTTCAGAATTAGAACCTTGTCTTCAGACTTGAAGCAGCAGCTTATCTGACAAATAATTCTTGATATCTGTGCTGGAAGGAAAAAATTTATATGAGAAACACATTGTCTTGATTTCTAATATTTGAATCAAAAACTTGATATATGATCTTCACAAGGAGATCCTTTTCTTAAACACACCCGTGACTTCTGAAGTAGCAGCTAATCTGATGAAGCACACGTGGATCCTTCTCTGGCGAATATTCAACATTCATCAGAACTACTGATGTTTCTTCAGAAACAAATGGAATAGTCTTTTGAGGCGTGCCAAACATAATTATGATGATTCTTCAGACAACAATCCTGAATTATTTAGAATGTTTTATCTGCACACTTAAGAAACTATTAGAGTCCAAAACTATTATATATAAAATATATGTATTGTTATCATCAAAAATCAGAGATCATGCACATAACCAAATCTTGTTCTAACACTTTTTACTCTCCTGATGACTTTTGCTGCTTCCTTCAGATTTGTCGGCCACTGAATGATTCCTTAATTTTTTCCCCAATGAGAAAACAATATTATCACCTTTTTTTTGGTTGCCAATGATTATTTCCCAATCATTGAAAATTGATTACCATTATTTTCTCCAATCGCAACATCATTGGTACCATTATTATTCATGATTTTGTCATTTATAGTGCCATTTAATGCATTAAACGAGATCCCGAAGTGCATGATACTGCATTTACTCTCACCGGAGCTTTCCCATTACCGGCTTTATTCCCATTATTTTCTCTGATTGCTGAATTCTTAGTATTGGCCCCACTAGTTGGGTGAAAATTTGGATTCCATTACTTCAGAGTGAGATAATGATCATATATGAACCAAGGTGATGCACTATGGTCATTATCACGCGCAAAGGTCACGAGATAATACTCATTGCTCATGTCAATGACGTTGATCACTCATTTCTTAACCCACATCTGCTTTAGTCTTGTCTCGGGAGCTTTGTAGCCTATTCTCCTGCCAAGCAACTTTATTATCACCCCTCGACGCCATGGCATGTGTACCATTCGTTCCCTGTGCTTAAAAAAATGAATTCTAGACAGACATAGCCTCCTTCGATATGCTCTTCCACTCTCATGTTTTCAAGATCTAGAATGTTCATTTATATATCGTCTTCATCATCTCCTGATTCATCTTTTTCATCCATACTTTCAGTATCTTTGCCTAAGACATATCCTTGTAAGATAAGCCAGTCTTATCCCGAGTCATCACCCTCTTCTCACCGTTATAATCCTCCTGTATAACCTCTTCTTCCACCACAATATCTTTTCCATTGTCCTTGACTTTTTTTATGCTTATTTTTTTGAAATTATTAATTTTAAAATAATTTTAAAATTTATCTATATTAAAATTATTATTACATTTTAGAGATACAATTTTATTCTACTTTATTTTCTTTTAAGTCTATAAAATTTATCTTTATTGAAATTAGACAATACAACTATTTAACTCGTTACTATTTAATTTAGGTTTTAAGGATTACATTTACCAATAATTTCAACCAACTATTATTTTAAAAAACACAAAACAATATTCATTTATCATATTTATATCTTTTAAAATTTTGAATTTAAAGATAATTGACTGTTAATATAAAATAATTTTATATGTATAATTAATCAAAATTCATACATATAAGATTTATTATGATATATATTTATTGAGAAAAAAGATAATATACTGATAATATAAATTAATTTTATACTATCAATCAATAATAATCATGTATCAGAACAAATCAGACTAAAAATTTTAAAAAATTTATATGATATTACATAATAATATAATCTTATTAAATAACAGTGTAATAATTTTTTACACAATTAATGCATAATCATTAAACTCGTATTTTTTATTAATTAATAGTATAAAAACATTTACATTGTAAGTATATTTTCTTTTTTCTCAAAAATTTTCATATTTTATCTCATAGAAAAATATAAATTTAAATGATAAATATTTGGTATATTAAATTCTAAATTCATCTGCTCACACCGCCTTATTTTGAGAACAACGCGTAACCGTCTTATTTTAATTGCATCGTGACCGTCAAATGCTGCTATGTTTGCGATATCACAGCCGTTAGTTCTGATCTTACTTACTATATAAATCTCCTCAACCCTCCATAATAATTAAAACATCTCATTCCAAAATACCGAAAATAATTGGTTATATCTTTCTGTCTAGATTGTTTGCTGAATCGAATTTGATTTGATTTCTTGATCTCCTCCTAAGAGGAAGATCGTTAGGGTTTTGCGAATTGATATGCTTTTTCGGATTGTAGCTATGGCGAGTTTCAGAGTTCTTTCGACTCTTGTTTTATGGATCGATCAATTCTCAAGATTTTCTTTCGACTCTTGTTTTTGGGATTCGTAATAGAGAAATCAAGTTTCTTCAATTATTTTTTTTTCTTCAAAATTATAACAATATGATTTTGATTTCTTGATTCTCAACTTTTCCTGGTTGTTTGCACTACGCGATGGCTTGTTGTCAGGGTTTGTTGATAGTCTTTTCTTTGTAATTATAATTTCTGCAACATCTTTTCTGCAGCGTGGTTTGTCAAACTAATAACCTTCATTGCAAGACAGCCTCAAGTTTTCATTTGGTCATCTCTTGTAAATTCTTTTCATTTAATAACTCTATAGATCATATATTTATTGATTTGTGTACTGTTTGGTGTTGTAGGAGAGGAATTCTTTCTATTCTTGATTCTTAAGTTTGATTGTGTTCTGTTCAATTTTCTCTCAGAATCTTATTCCGTGATTTGGTTGCCTGATTTTCTTGATTTCTTGTGTTCTATAACTATTAAATTCTTTTCTTCATTTAGTAATTAAGAGATGCATTCATCTTTTTCACAGCAAGCTGAGAAGTTTATATATCCATAATGTCCTGGTACAATGGGTCATTTTTCAATGGGTCATTTTTAACTATTTTTATTATTGGGCTTTGATTGCAAGACATACAATTTGAATTTTTAATGTGATTTTTTGCAGTTTGGTTGTCTAACTATAATACCCTTCTTCATAGGATGTGTCATATATACTTCATCATCTTTTGCAGGTTGTGTCTTAATTTGGTCATCTTTACTTAGACTCTTCACATTGTCCTTTTCATATTCATTATCTACTCTTATCTTATCAGTTCCTTGTGATTTGCTACAGAACCTGTGACAAGAAGACATTCACATACTTTGCGTTTAGCCGTGGATAAGATTGGTTATTGTATGCATTATTGTCTTACATACGTGTGTTAGTTTTTGGATTTGTCATACTTTTCTTTTGATAACATGTGCATGTTTTTTTATATAATGCTTCATTTGATATTGTTCAATCCCATCAAAATTAAAAGAATATTAACACGCAATGGTATAGAAACGGTGCATTATTATTATTGTTATTTTGGGACTTGATCACAAGACATACAATTTGAATTCTAGACATGTTTTTTTGCAGCTTGAGTTTTGATTTGATGATTTCTTTTAAAATCTGTTCTCAATAATTCTTTATCTCTTTTGAAACCATATTACTCTTTTTCTTTTATTTCCTCTGGTCTTTCTGGTTTCTTGACTCTTAGGTTTGATTTTGTTCTTGGCTTTTATCGCCATACATGTGAATTGAACTATAACTCTGTTTTATGCTGTGTAGTGTAGAGTAACATTCTGTGTAGTATAGATCCTCTCTTAAGTGTTCTTACCATCAATACTACTTTTCTCTTGCAAATGTTTGTTCTACATTTGGGTTTTTATTTCACGGTGCAGAAGTTTACAAATTGGCGGGCCTCTCTCTGTGTTATGATAATCTGCGACCTGGTTTAGAGAATTCTTCCATATTATTTCTTTATTATTCGTTCTTTTTCTACAACATATTTGTCACAGTTAACTCTCTTATTGACATAGTAAGATTCTTTGCCACCAAGTTTGCTCTACAACAAAAGTTTTCTAATTATTCACTCACTCACCTTTTTAGTTGGTCTATAGTGGAGAAATGGGAGACTGCTCTGTAAACGATTTTGCTGTATTGGTACTGGTCTATAGTGGAAAAATGGGAGACTGCTCTGTAAACGATTTTGCTGTATTGGTACTGGTCTATAGTAGAGGAATAGGAGACTGATCTGTACACGATTTTGTTGTATTGGTATTGGACTATAGTGGAGAAATGGGAGACTGATCTGTACATGATTTTGCTGTCTTGGTACAAATTATCAACTTTTGCAGGCTGTGTGTTGGACACCCCCCACTACTTATGCACTTTAATCTGGTCATCACTACATTAATCTTGCACATTAATCTGGTCATCACTACATTAATCTTCCATTCAGCCTATATTGTATCTTTGTTTCGGGATAGTTGTTCTCTTGATTGTGTGTTGTAGTTTTGTGTTTTTTATTCAGAATAGGTGTACACCTCTTTTGCCCTCTTGAAAATAAGGAATTCTTTAGTGTTTGGCACTTTTTGGGCAGTTGTTCTGCTGTGTATATCTGATATATAAGACTGACAATTAAAAATCTAGTACACCTCTTTTCCTCTCCTAATCTAACGGGCATCCCTCACTTTCTTTGTTATAAATTATTTACATCCCTTATTTGATTTATGGGAATAACAGTCTTCTCCGTTAAAATTGGTATCTTACACCGTTAAAATTGGTATCTAACAAAGTGGGGAAGTCTAAATATTTGTAGTTTCACATGGACAAGAACAGATAAGAACCAAGAACACTAAGGATAAATCCTATTTTTTCCAATGATTTAATCTCTGTTAATGGTTATTTATTTTCTTGGATGTCAAGACATTCAAATTGACCTCAGAACATGTTTTCCATATGTGTTTGTCTAATTAATAACCATTATTGCAAGACAACTTCGAGATTTGATTTTATCATCTTTTGTAAATTCTTTTTATTCAAATTGACCTCAGAACATGTTTTCCATATGTGTTTGTCTAATTAATAACCATTATTGCAAGACAACTTCGAGATTTGATTTTATCATCTTTTGTAAATTCTTTTTGTTTAATAACTCTTTATAGAGGATATATTTCTTGATTTGTGTTGGTGTTGCAGGAGAGGACATGCTTTCGTTTTCATGATTCTATAGTTTGCTTGTGTTGTATTTTAGTTTCTCTCCTATATTTGGTGGTTAGATTCTCTCTTTTATAGTGGCCCGGAGCAGTGACCTTCCGCTATGGAGTGGTGGTTCGCGTCTTCCGCTATGGAGTGGTGGTTCGCGTTTCAGTTTGAGATAGCGGTTGCTATTTGGTGTTTAGCATACGCTATTTGTTACTATTTTCTGAAGTTCCTTTTTAATGTTATTATGATGATGATTATACTTCTAAAAATTATCCTCTTCCTTGCAGAGGTTAAAAGTAGTTTTCTGAATTAGGATGAAGCTAAAATTGTGTCATTTCATATAGCTATATCTTGCAAATTGGATGGAAATTTGTTTCACTGAATCATCATCTTTTGCAGGTTGTTTCATATACTTCATAGGCCATACTGTTGCTAGGCTTTAATTTGGTCATGTATGCTTGGACTTTTTGCATTTTAGTCTTTTTCTTACTTAGCATCTACTCTTGTCAGTTCCTTGTGGTTTGCTATGGAACCTGTGATAGAAGGACATTCACATACTTCGCGTTCATCCTGGGATAAGATCTGTGATTGTATTATGTACGTGTATTAGTTTTTGGATTTGTGATACTTTTATTTTGATGGGGCATGTCTTGCTACAATTGGAGTTTGTGTTTTTGCATCAGGAACGGGAATATGAAGCATATAAAATTAGATGTACATCTTAAGGAGTTGAGGAATTTTGGACAAACCTAGCATTGCACTTTATTGTTGGGGTGTTTTGCGAATGTTGATCTATCTAGCCGACCTTAGACCCCACTTAGTGGGATAACTCTTACAAATGGTTGTTCTACTTTTAGGTTTTTGTATTCAGATTGTGCAGAAGTTTACATGATTTTGGAGACATCTTGTGACATATTGGCGGGCAATCTCTGTTATGCGGATCTGCAACTTCGTTTAGAGAATTATTTCATATTCTTTCTTTCTTCTTAGTTGTTTTACACAACCTATCTGTCAGTTTAATTATTCCATCAAGTTTACTGTACATCAAAAGTTTTCTTAATTCTCAATCATACTCTCTCACCTTTTATATAGGAACGGGCGATAAGTGTCTTTGCTGCTTTGTCAACTATCTTCTATGAATAAACTAACAAAGGGTACATGATCCGAAACCTTCTGCTAGCTGAGGTTTATATTATCTATTGATTCATTTTATCTGTGATATTTGAAGGTATATGTATTTCTTTAGTGTGGAAACTTTATTGTTTTTCTCTATCCATAACTTGAGTTTTGCTCTGGTTCAGCATACCAGATTTGGGAGTAACTTTATACATCTGTTCCTTGGGGTGTAGGCCCAACAGCTCCTTTGGTATTAGGTGGAAGCTTAATCGGTCATGTTTCATATTGGGTACCTACTCTGCATTTTGATGTATAAAGGTTAATACAAGTCTTTTTTAATAGACTTGTATTTGTTTTGATAATGTGTTTCGGGAGTGTTAGTTTTTGTATTTTTGTATCAGGAGCAGAATAATGAAGCATTCAAGATTCTGGATAAATTGGTTTGGCTCTCTTTTGTTCTGAAAGATTAATCTATCAGGCAGTTTTATAAAACAAAATGACGTTGATAAAAAAAAAGGACGTGTTTCCCTTGGAATATTAAAAACTGCCCTGCAGCAGTTATTTGACATGAGAGTTTGTGACACTTAATTCATCATTTGGAATATTTTATATTTGGCTCAAGATTTGATCCGGCTTACTGTGTTGAAGCAATTATTTTTTCTTAGTATCAAGCCTTGGTTTATTTAATATGGTGACAATTTCAACTAATAATTTTCAATATAGATTTAACACGTGTATAACTAAGTATTGTAGATAGATTTTGTTCTATATAGTTAACATGTAACTCGTATTGTAGATATAGAGAGAGCTTGAGAGTTCTTTCCACTCTTCTTTTAAGGATCGACTATGGTAAGGTTTCTATATGTGTTTGGATATCCTTAATGACTTGATTCAACATACAAGAACAAAGTATAAATCTAGATAGCTTAATGAATGTTTTTCAACGGGTCATTTTTTACTATTTTCATTTTTGGGCTTTGATTGCAAGACATACAAATTGAATTTTTGAACGTGATTGTAGAACTAATAATCTTCTTTGGATGAAGCTTAGTGTTTTGATTTTTGATTAGGTGATCTCTATTAAATACTTTTCATTTTCAATATTTCTTTATCGATTCTGGAAGCATATCTTCATTGATTTGGTATGTACTCTTTGGTGTTGCAGGATATCTAATACACGTGATTTCTACTAGTTCTATTTTCCTCTTGTTTGATCTTCATTGTTAATTTTTTGGTTTCTTAATTCTTAGGTTTGATTTGGCTGTTGTTAGTTTTAAACCTTTGAAAGTTATTTGATATCAAATAATGGTGATTTTTTTGTATTTATCACCTTATTTGAATTGCTAATTGAAATATGTACTATTTTTTGTTATGGAGAGTGTTTTGCACCAATTGTGTTTTGTGACAATAGTGTTTTGTGTAGTTTCAAGCAATGTGTCATCAAGAAATCAGGTTATTTTTTTACACTCTTCTTGGATTGTGAATTGTTTTCATTTCATTTCTACTATATAGAGTTCTATTGTCCTGTTTTCTGGATTTACCCCTTTATGTCACTTAGATGTTTCATGAGAGAGATAAGTATTGATGTGCGGTGAGATGAATTTTACTTTGTAGTCTTGTATTTTACTCCTTTATACTTGCAAAATCATCCTTGGGGGGTTTTGATCTCATAAATAACTTTCTTACATTTAAGTTTTTGAGTTATAATCTTCCATTCCAAAGGATTTTGGAGAAATTGGGAAAGCTTTGTGGGGCTTTCTTTGTAACTATAATTTTCTTTCTGGTTTCTTGATTTCTGAGGTTTGATTTTGTTCTGGCTTTTATTGCCATACATGTGAGTTGAAATATGACTCTGTTTTATGCAGTGTAGCGTAAAATAACATTATGTGCAAAATCAAGCCTCCCTCAAGGGTTCTTACCATCAATTCAACTTTTGTCTTACAAATGTTTTTTCTACATTTTTGTTTCAGACATTGCACAAGTTTACATACCTGTCTTTAATTTTTCAATAATTCTTTATCCCTTTTGACAACTTATTGTTCTTGATCTTTTATTTCCTCTGGTCTTGCAGGAAAGGTAGTTTGTGAGCATATTAATCTTCCTGCTTTGTATCCTGACGTCTTTACGGGTTCTTGATTTTGTTCTGGCTTTTACCGTCATACATCTCAATTGAAATAAGGCTGTGTTTTATGTAGTGTACTGTAGATTAACATTCTGCGTAGTATCAATCCTCTCTTGAGGGTTTTACCATCAATACTGCTTTTCTCTTACAAATGTTTGTTCTACATATGGGTTTTTGTTTTAGACAGTGCAAAAGCTTATGTAATTTTGGAGACATCCCGCCAAATTGGCGGGCCTCTCTCTGTTATGCTAATCTGTGACTTGGTTTAGAGAATTATTCCATATTATTTCTTTATTCTTGTTTCTTTTTTCTACAACCTATTGTTGACAGACTAAGTTTCTTTGCCATCAAGTTTGTTGTACACAGATAAGAACCTATTTTTCAATGATTCCTTTTTTGTTATATTTATTTATTTGCTTTGATGTCAGTACATTCTAAATTGACCTCAGAACATGTTTTTCGAGTGAGTTTGTCTAATTAACAACCTTCATTGCAAGACAGTCTCGAGTTTTGATTTGGCCATCTCTTGTAAACTCTTTTCGGTTAATAACTCTTTATAGAGCATATATTTCTTAATTTGTTTTGGTGTTGCAGGAGAGGATATGCTTTCAATTTCTTGATTCGAAAGTTTGTTTGAGTTGTATTCTATTTTCTCTCGGTCCTTGATTCCTTGATTTGTCGGGTAGATTTTCTTGATTTCGTCTTTTACTTTCTCTTCTTTCTTAAATTTAGGGTTGGTGCTAAACAAGAAAGTTTGCTTGTCCTTTTTTTTGTATGTGCTAAACAAGAATGTCACGTAACCATATTTCCCTTGATTCCTTTTACAGGTTGGTTAGTTAGAATTGTTTCTAGTTGCCTTGTTATAGTTATTTCCCATATTTTCTTGACAATTGTCTTATATAAGTAAACAGTTAAGAGTTTTCTTTCCCAAATAGATATCTCTCACAGAATCAGCAATATGTATAATAAGTTTTCTTTCCCAAATAGATGTCTCTCACAGAATCTGCAATATGCTGCTGTTGTGCTTTCATGTGGTGATCTCTTCTCTGATTATTAGATTTTTGAATTGTTTCGTGAGTTCTATGTGGTGGGCATAACAGGGGAGATATGTTAAGTTCTGCATGTCAAATATTATCAACCACTTGTGTATACTTTGGTCTTATAAGGGATTTTGAAAGTTGTGGTGGACATTATTAAGGACATGCTTTGAGCGCCCTTGGATAACTGTTCATTTTTCCTTGAACTTGTGTTGTAATAGTTTCTTTTCTATAGCAATGTACTGCTAATGTTGATTTGTGTTTATTCGTTTTCAGAATAACAAATCTAATCATTAGAAGATCTTGCATTCATATCCATCTCTCGGATAATCAAAATATGTGTGTAGGAGAGGAATTCTTTCGATTTCTTGATTCTTAAGTTTGATTGTGTTCTGTTCAATTTTCTCAGTTTCTTGATTCCTTGATTTGGTTGCCAGATTTTCTTGGTTTCTTGTGTTCTATAACTTTTAAATTCTATTCTCCATTATTTAGTAATTAAGAGATGCATTCATCTTTTTCACAGCAAGCTGAGAAGTTTATATATCCATGATGTCCTGGTACAACACAGACAATAACTCAAGATAACTACATCAGAGTTTTTCAATGGGTCATTTTTTAACTATTTTTATTTTTGGGCTTTGATTGCAAGACATACAATTTAAATTTTGCATGTGATTTTTTGCAGCTTGGTTGTCGAACTATAATAACCTTCTTCATAGGATGTGTCGTATGCTTCATCTTTTGCAGGTTGTGTCTTAATTTGGTCATCTTTACTTAGACTCTTCACATTTCTGTCCTTTTCATATTCAGTATCTTCTCTTATCTTATAAGTTCCTTGTGATTTGCTACAGAACCTGTGACAAGAAGACATTCACATACTTTGCGTTTAGCCGTGGATAAGATTGGTTATTGTATGCATTATTGTCTTACATACGTGTGTTAGTTTTTGGATTTGTGATACTTTTCTTTTGATAACATGTGCAGGTTTTTTTATATATAATGCTTCATTTGTATTGTTCAATCCCATCAAAATTAAAAGAATATTGACACGCAATTACCAGTAATGTGGCGAGCTGATGTCTAGATATCTAGAGCAGTTTGCAGTTCTTGATTACAATGGATAAGAATGATAATGGTATAGAAACGGTACATTATTATTGTTATTTTGGGACTTGATCACAAGACATACAATTTGAATTCTAGACATGTTTTTTTGCAGCTTGAGTTTCGATTTGATGATTTTTTTTAAAAATCTTTTTTCAATAATTCTTTTATCTCTTTTGAAACCATATTACTCTTGTTCTTTTATTTCCTCAGGTCTTTCCGGTTTCTTGACTCTTAGGTTTGATTTTGTTCTTGGCTTTTATCGCCATACATGTATAGTGTGGAGTAACATTTTGTGTAGTATCGATCCTCTCTTAAGGGTTCTTACCATCAATACTACTTTTCTCTTGCAAATGTTTGTTCTACATTTGGGTTTTTGTTTCACGGTGCAAAAGTTTACAAATTGGCGGGCCTCTCTATGTTATGATGTTAATCTACGACTTTGTTTAGAAAATTCTTCCATATTATTTCTTTATTATTGGTTCTTTTTCTACAACATATTTGTCACAGATAACTCTCTTATTGACAGAGTAAGATTCTTTGCCACCAAGTTTGCTCTACAACAGTTTTCTAATTATTCACTCACTGACCTTTTTAGTTGGTCTATAGTGGAGAAATGGGAGACTGCCATGATTTTGCTGTATTGGTACTGGCCTATAGTGGAGAAATGGGAGACTGCTCTGTACACGATTTTGCTGTATTGGTATTGGTGGTCTATAGTGGAGAAATGGGAGACTGCTCTGTACACGATTTTGCTGTATTGGTATTGGTGGTCTATAGTGGAGAAATGGGAGACTGCTCTGTACACGATTTTGTTGTATTGGTACTGGTCTATAGTTGAGAAATGGGAGACTGCTCTGTACACGATTTTGCTGTACTGGTACTGGTCTATAGTGGAGAAATGGGAGACTTTTGTAAATGATTTTGCTGTATTGGTACTGGTCTATAGTGGAGAAATGGGAGACTGCTCTGTACACGATTTTGCTGTATTGGTACTGGTCTATAGTGGAGAAATGGGAGACTGCTCTGTAAATGATTTTGCTGTATTGGTACTGGTCTATAGTGGAGAAATGGGAGCTCTGTACACGATTTTGCTGTATTGGTACAAATTGTCAACTTTTGCAGGCTGTGTGTCGGACACCCCCCAATACTTATGCACTTTAATCTGGTCATCACTACTTTAATCTGGTCATCACTACTTTAATCTTGCATGTGGAGTTTCTCATACATACTTTCCATTCAGCCTGTATTGTGTCTTTGTTTCAGGATAGTTGTCCTCTTGATTGTGTGTTGGAGTTTTGTGTTTTTTATTCAGAATAGGTGTACACCTCTTTTGCCCTCTTGAGAATAAGGAATTCTTTAGTGTTTGGCACTTTTTTGTTATGTTTTTTTGTGATAGTTGTTCTGCTGTGTATATCTGATATATTAGACTGACAATTAAAAATCTAGTACACCTCTTTTCCTCTCCTAATCTAATGGGCATCCCTCACTTTGTTATAAATTATTTACATCCCTTATTTGATTTATGGGAATAACAGCCGTTAAAATTGGTATCTTACACAGTGGGGAAGTCTAAATATTTGTAGTTTCACATGAACAAGAACTATTAAGAACCAACAACACTACGGATAAATCCAATTTTTTCCCAATGATTTAATCTCTGTTATAGTTATTTATTTTCTTGGATGTCAAGACATTCAAATTGACCTCAAAACATGTTTTCCATGTGTGTTTGTCTAATTAATAACCATTATTGCAAGACAACCTCGAGATTTGATTTGGTCGTCTTTTGTAAACTCTTTTTGTTTAATAACTCTTTATAGAGCATATATTTCTTGATTTGTTTTGGTGTTGCAGGAGAGGACATGCTTTTGTTTTCATGATTCTATAGTTTGCATGTGTTGTATTTTAGTTTCTCAGAAATTTGGTGGCCAGATTCTCTCCTTTATAGTGGCCCGGAGTCGTGACCCTCCGCTGCTCAAAATTATCCTCTTCCTTGCAGAGGTTAAAAGTACTTTCCTGTAATAGGATGAAGCTAAAATTGTGTCTTGCTATAATTGGAGTTTGTGTTTTTGCTTCAGGAACGGGAATATGAAAGCATACAAAATTAGATGTACATCTTAAGGAGGTTGAGGAATTTTGGACAAACCTGGCTTTGCACTTTATTGTTGGGGTTGTTTTGCGAATGTTGATCCATCTAGCCGACCCCAGACTCCACTTAGTGGGATAACTTACAAATGGTTGTTCTACTTTTAGGTTTTTGTATTCAGACTGTGCAGAAGTTTTACATGATTTTGGAGACATCTCGACATATTGGCGGGCATCTCTCTGATATGCTGATCTTCAACTTGGTTTAGAGAATTATTCCGTATTCTTTCTTTCTTTCTTCTTGGTTCTTTTACACAACCTATCTGTCAGTTTAATTATTCCATCAAGTTTACTGTACAACAAGTTTTCATAATTCTCAATCATACTCACCTTTTATATAGAAACGGGAGATAAGTGTCTTTGCTGCTTTGTGTCAACTATCTTCTATGAATAAACTAACAAGGCTACGTGATCCAAAACCTTCTGTTAGCTGGGGTTTATATTTTCTATTGATTCATTTTATCTTTGTGATATTTGAAGGTATATGTATTTCTTTAGTGATGAAGCTTTATTGTTTTTCTCTATCCATAACTTGAGTTTTGCTCTGATTCAGCATACCAGATTTGGGAGTAACTTTGTTTTCCAAGATAAGGAATTTTGGACAACTTGGCTGGTATTATTTGTTTTGCTAATCTGTTTCTTGGGTTGTAGGCCCAATAGCTCCTTTGGTATTAGGTGGAAGCTTAATCGGTCATGTTTCATATTGGGGTGTAGGCCCAATAGCTCTTTTGGTATTAGGTGGAAGCTTAATCGGTCATGTTTCATATTGGGTACTAAGAAAGACTCATCACATTTCAGTGTTTGCTACTCTGCATTTTGATGTATATAGGTGAAAAAGAAAATCTATGAAAGTCTGATGTGTTGTGGCATGTGGCAAGCAAAGGTTAACCTATACTCGTCTTTTTTAATAGACTTGTATTTGTTTTGATAATGTGTTTCGGGAGTGTTGGTTTTTGTATTTTTGTATTAGGAGCAGAATAATGAAGCATTCAAGATTCTAGACTAGAGTACATCTTTCTGTCCAAGCCATGGAATTCTGGACCAATTTGGTTTGGCTCTCTTTTGTTCTGAAAGATTAATCAATCAGGCAGTTTTAAAAAACAAAATGACCTGCGGCAATTATTTGACGTGAGAGTTTGTGACTTAATTCATCATTTGGAATATTTTGTATTTGGCTCAAGATATGATCCGGCTTACTGTGTTGAAGCAATTATTTTTTCTAATATCAAGCCTTGGTTTATTTAATATGGTGACAACTTCAACTAATAATTTTCAATATAGATTTAACACATAACTAAGAATTGTAGATGGATTTTGTTCTATATAGTTAACATGTATAACTTGGATTGTAGATATTGAGAGCTTCAGAGTTCTTTCCAATCTTCTTTTTAAGGATCGATTATAGTAATGTTTCTATAACTTTTTGATTCAAGTCTTCATTTAATAATTAAGAGATTCATTTATGTGTTTGGATATCCTTAATGACTTGATTCAACATACAAGAACAAAATATAAATCTAGATAGCTTAATCGATGTTTTTCAATGGGTCATTTTTTACTATTTTCATTTTTGGGTTTTGATTGCAAGACATAGCTCTATTGTCCTGTTTTCTGGATTTACCCCTTTATGTCACTTAGATGTTTCATTAGAGAGATAAGTATTGATGTGTGGTGAGAGATGAATTTTACTTTGTAGTCTTGTTCTTTACTCCTTTATACTTGCAAAGTCATCCTTGGGGTTTTTTGATCTCATAAATACTACTACTTTCTTACATTTAAGTTTTTGAGTTATAATCTTCCATTCCAAAGGATTTTGGAGAAATTGGGAAAGCTTTGTGGGGCTTTCTTCCATTCCATACATGTGAATTGAAATATGCTTATGTTTTATGCAGTGTAGCGTAGAATAACATTCTGTGCAAAATCAAGCCTCTCTCAAGGGTTCTTACCATCAATTCAACTTTTCTCTTACAAATGTTTGTTCTACATTTGGGTTTTTGTTTCAGACAGGGCACAAGCTTACATACCTGTCTTTAATTTTTCAATAATTCTTTATCCCTTTTAACAACTTATTATTCTTGATCTTTTATTTCCTCTGGTCTTGCAGGAAAGGTAGTTTGTGAGCATTAATCTTCATGCTTTGTATCCTGACGTCTTTATGGGTTCTTGATTTTGTTCTGGCTTTTACCGTCATACATCTCAATTGAAATAAGGCTGTGTTTTATGTAGTGTATTGTAGATTAACATTCTGCGTAGTATCAAGCCTCTCGAGGGTTTTACCATCAGTACTGCTTTTCTCTTTCTTTATTCTTGTTTCTTTTTCTACAACCTATTGTTGACAGAGTAAGTTTCTTTGCCATCAAGTTTGTTGTACACAGTGGGGAAGTCCACCAAGAACTGAGAACACTACAGATAAATCTAATTTTTTCAATGATTCCTTTTTTGTTATATTTATTTATTTATTTATTTGCTTTGATGTCAGTACATTCTAAATTGACCTTAGAACATGTTTTTTTCGAGTGTGTTTGTGTAATTAACAACCTTTATTCCAAGACAGTCTCGAGTTTTGATTTGGTCATCTTGTAAACTCTTTTCGGTTAATAACTTTATAGAGCATATATTTCTTGATTTGTTTTTGTGTTGCAGGAGAGGATATGCTTTCAATTTCTTGATTTGAAAGTTTGCTTGAGTTGTATTCTATTTTCTCTCGGTCCTTGATTCCTTGATTTGTTTGGTAGATTTTCTTGATTTCTTGTCTTATACTTTATCTTCTTTCTTAAATTTAGAGTTGGTGCTAAACAAGAAAGTTTGCTTGTCCTTTTTTTGTGTGTGTGTTAAACAAGAATGTCACATAACCATATTTCCCTTGGTTCCTTTTACAGGTTGGTTAGTTAGAATTGTTTCTGGTTGCCTTGTTATAGTTATTTCCCATATTTTCTTGACAATTGTCTTTATATAAGTATAACAATAAGAGTTTTCTTTCCCAAATAGATGTCTCTCACAGAATCAGCAATATGTATAATAAGAGTTTTCTTTCCCAAATAGATGTCTTTCACAGAATCTGCAATTTGCAATCTGCTGTTGTTTCGTGAGTTCTATGTGGTGGGCATAACAGGGGAGATATGTTTAGTTCTCCATGTCAAATATTATCAACCACTTGTGTATACTTTGGTCTTACAGGGGATTTTGAAAGTTGTGGTGGCCGTTATTAAGGGCATGCTTTGAGCGCCCTTGGATAACTGTTCATTTTTCCTTGAACTTGTGTTGTAATAGTTTCTTTTCTATAGCAATGTACTGTGCTAATGTTGATTTGTGTTTATTCGTTTTCAGAATAACAAATCTAATCATTAGAAGATCTTGGATTCATATCTATCTCTCGGATAATCAAAATATGTGTTTGGATATCTAGAGTGTTTGAAGATACTTGATACAATGAATAAGAAAGTTGAGTATGATAAATCAAATTTCTTTAATGAGTTGTTCTTTATTATTATTACTAACTTCTCTTAGTAATGCATGCAAATTGAACTGTGAACTTATCCTTCTGGTTCAATCTTCCTCTTCATTGATTGATATTTGTTTTTATATGCACCTTTTTCCCCCTTGGTTTACATGGTCTTTTGATGTAGGGGTTTGATCGGGTTCATATTTTAATGGTCTTGTTTGGTAAATTGATTGTCTTCCAATACTCTTTTGATAATGTGTAGGTTTTTTATTTTATATAATGCTTCATTTGATAATCAATTAATCGTTCAATACTGTTAAAATTAAAAGAATTTTGACACAAATATCAGTATTACAGCGAGCTGATATCTGGAGCAGTTTGCAGTTATTGATTACAGTGGTATGAACGATAATGATATAGAAATGAGTCGTTCTTTATTATTTTTATTTTTCCGACTGATCACAAGACATTAAATTTGAATTATGAACTTGTTTTTATGCTCCTTGGGTTTGTCAAAATAATATTCAATAAAGCATGGAGCTTGAGTCGGTTTGATGATTTCTTTTAAAATCTATGTTTTCAATAATTCTTTATTCCTTTTGAAAGCATATTATTCTTGATCTTTTATTTCCTCTGGTCTTGCAGGAAGTGTAGTTTGTGAGAATATTATAACCTTCTTCATAGGACGTGTCGTATACTTCAACATCTTTTGCAGGTAGACTCTTCACATTTCTGTATTTTTCATACTCAGCATCAACTCTTATCAGTTCCTTGAGATTTGCTATGGAACCTGTGACAAGAAGACATTCACATGCTTTGCGTTCAGCCCTTGGATAAGACCGGTTATTGTATTACGTACGTGTATTAGTTTTCAGCTTTCTGATAATTTTCTTTTGATGGGATGTCTTGCTACAGTTTGAGTGTTTTTGTTTCCACATCAGGAACATGAATATGAAGCATAATTGTAATTTATGATTATGTTGATGATTATACCTCCTAAAGAATATCCTCTTGCAGAGGTTAAAGTACTCCTCTTTATTAGGATGAAGCTAAAGTTGTGTCATTTCAAATGGGTACAGAATCTTGCAAATTGGATGAAAATTTGTTTCACTGAATCATCTTTTGCAGGTTGTGTTGTATACTTCATAGTCTATACTGTCGTTAGGCTTTAATTTGGCCATCTCTACTTAGACTATTCACATTTCAAATTTCAATCTTTTTCATACTTAGCATCTACTTTATCAGTTCCTTGTGATTTGCTAAGCCTCTACGTTTACATACTTCGCATTCTGCCTTGGATAAGATCAATTATTGTATTACATGCGTGTATTAGTTTTTGGATTCGCGATACTTTTCTTTTTATGGCATGTTTTGCTACAGTTGGAGTTTGTGTTTTCACATCAGGGACATGAATATGAAGCTTACAAAATTATAGTACATCTTAGGGAGGTTGAGGAATTTTGAACAACTTTGTTTGGTAAGTTGATTTGCCTTATTTCTCCTATCTAGAATTTTTGAAAATACCTGATACGATGTATAAGGAAGTTGAGTCTTGATAAATCAAATATCTTCAAGGAGGAGTCCTTTACTATTTTTTCTTTTGGCTTCTCTTAGGTATGCTAGGCAAAATAATTTTCTTCGTAGTGCAGAGCTTCTAGTTTTTATATGGTGATCTCTAGTAATTTTTTCGTATCTGTATTTCTTTATCATTTTTAAGAGCATATAGTTTTTTTTTCTTTTTCTCTTTGGTGTTGCAAGAGAGGTAACTTTTCGTTTCAATCTTCCTCTTTTTCGATATTCAATTTTTGTAATTCTCTCTTTGTTTTCCTTGGTTACATTGGGTCATTTGATGTAGGGGTTTGATCTGGTTCTAGCTGATTTTGATCATGGAGTTTGCTGTTTTTATTTTAATGGTCTAGTTTGGGTTTTAATCAATTGTTTTCCAGTTCCCTTTTGATAATGTTTCATTTGGTAATCATTCAATGCTATTAAAATTAAATGAAATTGACATGCGTTTATCAGTATTGCAGCGAGCTGATTACTAGATATCTAGAGTAGTTTACTGTTCATGATTACAATGGATAAGAACGATAATGGTCATAAAAAGGAGTAGTTCTTTACTGCTTTAGTTCATCATACAAGATTAGGGAGTAACATTTCAGATGAGAAATTTTGGACAATTTGACTTAAGAAAATGATTAGATGTGTTAATTTTATTGAGAGTATTTGTTTTGCGTATTTTGTTTCTCAAGACAGTTTTGATAATCATCAATTTTGAAATCTTGAATTTTCTGTGTATGAAAAGACAAACAACATAAGAAAGTCTGGTGTGGCACGTGGCAAGCAAAGGTTAGCATACTATTTATCCAACGTTATGATAAAAATAGTCTTTTTAAGATATATATTTCTTTTTGTCTTTGGGAGTGTTGTCTTGTGGGAGTGTTGGAGAAAGGAGCAGTGCAGATCGGTGACCAAAGGGTGTTTATAAGATTAAGAAGTAAGAAGGGAGATTGAGTTGCTTCTGAACACAAACGTGCGAGATCGAGACAATGGAAACATCGCTTCTTGAGAGCATGGATAATATGAATTTATTTTTGAGATAATGAATTTGTTTCTTTTTCTTAAATGGGTAATAATGTTTTTTAAGGTAAAGAATTAATTAAAATATTAAAATATAGTTCCTAATAGTCTAGTAATTAATAGAGTTAAAACAATGGAGTATTTATAAATCACATATCTTATTATTATTCTTTCTCAAGTATATGGAGGTTACTCAAGAGATTTTTAGTCAGGCAATATTTGATTTAAATATCTGTGGCTGCTCTTAATTTTGAAAAAATAATACCATTTGGGAGTTTCTTAATACACCCTTAAGGGTTTTTAGGGTGTTTTAGTAAAAAATTATATTATTTTCCTAATTCGGATATATATATTCGAATTTAAGGCATTTTAATTTTTTATTAAATAGGTTTTGAGATGTATATTCGAAGATATTAAATGGTATTTGAACGCATTTAATATTTCATTTTCAAAGGATTTTTAAATATGTATATTTGAAATAATCTAATATTTCGTCTTTAAGAGATTTTCGGATATAAATATTAAGAGTCGATTAGAATTAATGTGTATCTTAAAAAAATCAGTATTGATGACATCCATTCTTAATTAAGAGAAATTTGTATTCGTCTTAATTTTTCTTTTATTGAAAATGTATTTTCTGTATTATAACGTGTTTAATGAGACCACATTAAAGTAAATTTATATTCATATAAATTTTATATAATAAAATAATATAATTAATATAATTGATACACATTGATTCTTAATACTCTATTAATTCAGATATTCATATCCGAAAACTCCCTAAAGATAAAATATTTAATTATTTTGTATATATGAAAATGAAATATTGAATGCGTTCGAATATAATCTAAAATGTCCTGCCATAGTTGGAGTTTTGTGATTTTGTAATAGGAATGGGACAACACACCTCTTTTGCTCTTCTAAAAGGTATTTTCTCTTATTTGATTAGTAAGAATAAGAGTCTTCTTGGCCAAAGTGGTATCTACAGTGGAGAAGTAAATATTTAGTACAAATAAGAACCAACAACACTACATATAAAATCAATTTTTTCAATTTTATTTTTTTGCTTTGATGTCAAGACATTCAAATTAAACTCAGAACATCTTTTGTGCAGTGTTGTTTGTCAAATTAATAACCTTCATTGCCAAACAGCCTCGAGTTTTGATTTGGCTCGAGTTTTGATCATATATTTATTGATTTGTTACTTACTGTTTGGTGTTGCACGTTTTTTTATTCTAAAGTTTGATTGAGTTCTGTTCAATTTTTTCTTGTTTCTTGACTCCTTGATTCAGTGATCAGATTTTCTTAATTTCTTATGTTCTATAATTTTTAGATTCAATTCTCCATTTAATAATTAAGAGATGCATTAATCTTTTTCACTACAGGCTGAGAAGTTTGGATATCCATAATGTAGTGATACAACTGACAATAAGTCAAGATAACTACATCAGTTTTTCAATGGGTTATTTTTTACTATTTTTATTTTCCGTCTTTCATTGCAAGACATACAACATGAAATTTTGAATGTGATTTTATGCAGCTTGGTTGTGGAACTATAATAACCTTCCTCATAGGATATGTCGTATACGTCATCATCTTTTGAAGGTTGTGTTGTATACTTCATAATTCATACTGTTGCCTAGGCCTTTATTTGGTCATTTTGATTTAGACTCTTCACATTTTTGTCTTTCTCTCATACTCAATATCTACTGTTATTAGTTCCTTGTGGTTTACTACAGAACCTGTGAGAAGAAGATATTCACATACTTTGCGTTTAGCTATGGATAAGATCAATTATTGGATATTATTGTATTACATATGTGTGTTATATTTTAGATTTGTGATACTTTTCTTTTGATGGCATGTCTTGTTACAGTTGGAGTCTTTGTGTCTCTGCATCAGGAATGTGAGGTTGAGGAATTTCAGACAACCTACTTTGACACTGTTCCGGTTGATTTGCCATGTTATAATTATTTCTCCTATTTTTTTGTTAGTTTCTTTGCGTTCACTTTTTTTTGATGGCATGTCTTGTTATAGTTGGAGTTTATGTGTTTCTGCACGAGGAATGTTAATATGAAGCATAAAAAATCAGCACATCTTAGGGATGTTGAGGAATTTTAGACAAGCATAAAAAATCAGCACATTTTAGGGATGTTGAGGAATTTCAGACAACTTATTTTGACACTCTTTTGTTTGGGTTTATTTGCCAAGTTATAATTATTTCTTCGACTTGTCAATTGTTTATTTGTCAAACGTGTCTTACGTAAGTATAAAAATAAGAATAAAGTATAAGCATACAAAATATAGAGGAGGGTCTTGGGGAGGTTAAGGAATTTCAGACAATCTGGTTTGGCACACTATTGTTCGGGTTGATTTGTCTTGTTATAATTATTTCCCATATTTTCATGTGGTGATCTCTTCTTTGATTGAATTCTCCATGATTAATTTTTTCTATTCTTTCATGAGTTTTATGTAGTGGGTGTCACAAAAGGATATTACAGGGACAAATTATCAACCACTTTTAAAGTTGTTGTGGACATTATTGAGGGAGAATTTCTTTGTACACCTCTTAAGGGTGGGAAAAATTCCTGAAAATCTGAAAATACTCTTCAGAGATGTATCTTCGGATGCACCTCAAATTAAGGTGTTCGAAGATGTGTCTTCGTAAGCACTCAAAATTATCAAATTTTAGGATGATTTGGAAATGCACTTCCGAAATTTAAAAAAAATAATCAGGGAATGTTTCGGAAGTGTATTTCCGAAATATGCCCTGACACATGAAAAGAAGTCTTGAGACCAAATTGAATTAAATCTTCTATAAATAGGGTGTCAAAACCATTTCTTTAACATCATACACCACAAATTAGACATCACACACCACAATTCAGATTTGACACAAACATATCCTCACCGTGTGAAACTGTCACTTCAATTAGGTCACACACCACAATTCAGATTTGACACAAACATATCCTCACCGTGCGAAACTGTCACTTCAATTTAGGTTCTGTGAGGACACGTCTCTCACCGAGCTCATTCTCGTCGAGCTCATTACCATATTCAACTCTCTTGTTATATCTACATAATTTTTTGTTTCAAGGTTTCTATTTTGCTGTAATCATTCAGTGTATTTCGGAAATGTACATCCAAAATATAGCATTAGATATTTTAGGTAATACATCTCTGAAATCACTCCATAAAAAATGAAATGTTGTAACATCGGAAATTCATCACCGAAATCACCCTAAAAAAAATAAACTTTGGTGCATTCGAAGATACATTTTTGAATTCTAGGAATAAAAACGAAATTTCGTCAGAGGTGATTAAGAAATTGTAAGGGTGGGGAAAGAAATTCCCTTATTGAGAACATGCTTAGAGCGCCCTTGAATTTAACTGTTCATTTTTATTTTTTCTTGAAAATGTTTACGTGTTGTAATAGTTTCTTTTATTGGGAAATGTAATTTAGTAATGTTGATTTTTGTGTTTAATTGTTTTCAGAATTACAAATCTAATCATTAAGAGATTGTGATTTGGTGATCTCTTGTAACCTTTTGTTTTAGTAATTCTTTATCAATTTTGAGAGCATATA